TCAGATGAATTCCATATGGCCTCATGGACTCTGAGCATTATTTTCTGCCTCAGAACAACAGATCCACTACTTTTTCATCCTGCCACAGATGATAAATAAATAATAATAACAATTAAAACAAACAATCAAACATAAACCTCCAAGTCCTGCTTTTCTCTCTTTGACTTTCAAATAGCCTGCAAGTATGAGTGTTTCACAAACAGCTTACAATGAGCATTGTATCTGAGACTAGACAATGCCTTACTTGAAGTTTCCACTGTGGAATAACCATTCAGTTAATCCTGAAGTTTTTTTGTTTGGTTTGGTTTTGTTTTTACATTCAAGTCACAATTCAAGTCACATCCTCCTTTCTGAGTGTTTTTTCTGTGACCCTGAGCAAAACAGAAGTCCTACCCAGCCATGTATCTGAATCCTGTCCCCTAGCCATGACCTGGTCATACTTATATGGTGTGCCTAGAGAGGTTTCAAAAATATTTTTTGTTCTGGGGAGGTTTAGATTGGACATTAGGAAGAGTTTCTTCACAGAGAGGTTGGTCAAGCATTGGAACAGGCTGCCCAGGAAAGTGGTGGAGTCCCTATCCCTGAAAGTATTTAAGAGACAGACAGAAATATCACGAAGGGACATGGCTTAGTGATGGGACTTGGTAGGTCAGGTCAACAGTCGAATCTGATAATCTTGAAGGTCTTTTACAACATAAATGATTCTGTAATGCTGTTTCCACAGAAGGCAATTTCTCTACTGCTCCTTACAAGCTACCTGTGAGACAGCAGTAAAGTGTTCTCTAAAAGCTGATGTTTTTTCTTGAGTATCATTGTCCCTAGAGAAGTCTTACACCTAATGCTTCTTTTCACAGCGAATTTGTATAAATATCTTTGCAATTTGTCAAGAATTTAATATTAAAAGGTTTCTATGTTTTTTTTTTGTTTTGTTTTGTTTTGTTTTGTTTTGTTTTAAGATTTATTTATTTTGTTTGTTTTGTTTTGTTTTATATGGAAGCTCTGCTCTCACTTCATGGCTTGAAGGCTAGGATATCTTTGTGTGAACAGGCTGGAGGTGAAGTTTTCTTTACATTGATTCTTATGTCTTAGATGTGGCATGAATGAGGATCTCTGAATGGAAGAATAGTATCACTGTACAGTGTCAGAAGTTTGAGATATCTGAGATGGGAAAAACACTTCCTGCAGATGAATAAGTGCCTTTGATAAAGTAGGATGGGGAAGATCTCCAGCCTGTAGACACCTCCATACTGCAATATCTACCCTAATACCCAATATATTTCAGTCAAAATTCAGTTATTTCCATTCAATTTATTGCTGTCCCCCCTTGTCCTTTCATAGAATAAGAAGGAAAGAAAAGAAACAAGAATGGAAAATGAAACATAAATGAAATATTGAAGAGTTGGGGAGGGAGGGAAGAGTTTCTTTTTTAGCATAAAGAAGGAGGAGAGGAACGAGCAAGGACATCAGAATATGCCATTTAGATAGAGATTTCTCACTAAAAACCTCTGAGACACTCCTGTAGCTAAATAAAAATAAATGGGAACACGGATACTCTCGACTCATGGCTAGCTCCTATCTACTTTATTTAGCTGAAAAGGAAACATCTAAAACCTGGCTTTGTTCAGAAACCTACTGAGCAGAGCTTTCCACACCCCACTTCTTCAGAGGGGAAAAGGGCAGATCACCTCCACAAAAGCAATCTTTTTTTTTTGCAGCTGCAAACTTGTTAGCAGGCCTCACTCACTAAGCAGGTTTGGAAATTAATCGGTTATTTTTCAGCTGCTCTGGCACTTGAAGCTTCTTGAGGTAAATCCAAACATTCTTCAGTAATCTGTGCAGGTGATTGCGTTACTCCCCTTTTAAATGTCACAGAGTGAGACAGTGCTATGGTATCTTATTGTTTCAAGGAAATGCTTAAATCTATGTGTAGTATCTTCTACTTTTATATAATATATGTTATGTTTATAAATAATCTATTTATATCCACCACTTCTCTGGGCTACCTGTGCCAGTGCTCAGTCACCCACACAGTCAAAAAGTGTTTCCTAATGTTCAGAGGGAACCTCCTGTGTTTAAGTTTGTCCCCATTGCCTCTTGTCCTGTCACTGGGCACCACTGAAAAAAGCCCAAGAGTTGCCCAGAGAAATGGTGGAGTCTCCTACCTTGAAGCTATTTAAAAGCTAACATATCTGGACATGCTCCTGGTCAACCTGCTTTAGGTGGCCGTGCTTGAGCTAGGGGAGGGGAGAGGGGGGAGTAGATTAGTTTCCAGAGGTTTCTTCCAACCTCAACCATCTTGTAATTCTATCTTATTCATAGGGCCAGTCATTCATGTATCTTGATAACAGGAATCTTGACAAGGAACTTATATTATTATATTTCTTTTTCAAACTTAGTCTTCGAAGGGTAATAAACAGCCTAAGAGTGCAGCAGAAGATGTCTCTATGGTGGTACCAGTACCAGCAGTAACCAAGGTAAATATTTTTAACCAACTTAAAATGCTATATGAAGGAGCAGTAGTAGACAGAGAATTTTGCCATTGTTTTCATTTGGACTCAATTTTTACATAAGCATCTCTGAGAGCTTGTTTCATAATTTACTTCTGCTATCAGGTCTAGACCAGATTGTTCAAAACATCTGCAGTTCAGACTGCAAGTATATTGTATGTAAGACTCTAAGATATGGACTCCCTAACTTTTTAATATTTTTTTCTTGTGATCATACATCACAAGAAAAATCTTCTGTGTAAATTTATATCTCAATCCTTCTGGTGTCCACTGACTAGAGTGGGGTGCTCACTCATTGTATTGTTTCCAGACATTACATGTTCCCTTACTGGTAAAGCTAGAGTATTTCAACCTTAGCCATGCTGATACTCTCTTTAATGTTATAATGCTACTGGTACCAGCACAAATAGTCACAGTGCAGTCTGCCATTCTCACCAATGCAAATCACTTTCATTGGTTCTGCTCAGGGCACAAAAAAGAATCATAGGACTGGCGTGCTTGCAAATACTGGCACTGGAAATTGGCTATGAGGAGGCACAAACAACAGAGACAGCTGAGAACTAAGATATGTAATAAAAAATAGTGACAGCTGGGTCTTTCTCTTGCCAGTCACCCAAACCAATTTTCGTATAGCTTAATTTTATTATAAATTATACTACCTGGCCAGTGTGGAGCCACACATTTGTTCTTTATGAATTGCAGAATGCAACACGCAGCAATAAGTATGCAGCTTCATTAAAAACAAAAACAAACCAACCAAACAAGCAAAAAAAACCAAACAAGCAGTATTGATCTTGAGTAAATAGCCAAGAATATAAGGTGGAGTAACTCACCATAGGGTGTCATCTGTGTCAACTATAAGAAGGTGTAAAAAAAAATATACAGGCTTACAATTTTGCAGCCACTATATTTGCAAACCTGATTTGCAAAATACTCATCCAGTCAAAATAATCACAACCATAAAAATTAAACTTGTTAAAGCAGCATTTTCTATAATGCATACAAGTGTCTGGTCTTACACCAATGTTTACTTTTTCCAAACCTGATCTTCTTCTGTGACAAGATGACTGGATTAGTACATGAGTGAAAGGCTGTGGATGTTGTTCACCGCAACTTTAAAAAAACATTTGACACCATTTTCCATAGTATCCTTCTAGAGAAACTGACTGCTCATGGCTTGGACAGGTGTACAGTACACTGGGTATCTTGATGGTCAGGCTTGAAGAGTAATAGCAAATGGAGTTCAATACAATTGGTGGCCAGTCACCATTGCATTTAGCAGGGCTCAGTACCGGGGCCCCTTTTGTTTAACATTTTATTAGTGTTCTGGATGAGGGGATCATGTGCACCCTCAGCAAGTTCACAGATGATACCAAATTAGGCTGGTGAGGGGACTAGACAACAAGACTTATGAGAAGTGGCTGAGAGAACTGGGTTTGTTTAGTCTGGAGAAGAAGAAGCTATGATACTTGCTGGGTAACTACACATTGTGTCAATGATACCAAGTGAATAACACTAGAAACGGAAGTTCAAGAGATTGAAGCATAGTATGAGAAGTATTCATAAGCTGAGGGGAAACAGGTACCCATCTGCCTCCAGTGTGAAGTAGAAATGTTATCCCGATTCCATTTTGTATTTTTGCAAAATTTCCATGACAATGTTGTGAAATAAAACACAAGTTTAAGTTTTTTTTTGTTGAATTAATTTTGAGAGAACAAAACATGATCCTCCAGCAATTTTTAGGGATGAGGTATGTAACACACTTATCTTCAGTGGTACATTTTGGCACACTACCTTGCTGTAATCATTGACTACTCACACAGTACTCATCCAAAACAAACTAGATGCTGTTCTCATTTGCTGTGCCTCTCCCGAGGTTTAGACACTGCATTCAGTACCACCAGAATTTATGTAGAAAGCACAGTACTGCAAAGCAGTGGAAAAATCTGTCACAGTCCTGAGATGCCTGGTCACTATGTCACAAGCTTTTCATCTTTATTTTGAGGTATAAACAACTAAACACTGTTTCTGCAATTGGCAGTCTCTTCTGGAAATCAGGAAGGCAGGGCATGGAAGTGTCATGAACACAGAGAATTGCACAGATGCCTCTTTTCTCTGACATTTGTCAATTTTTTATCCCAGGATCTGGTTTGGAGTCTTTTTTAAATCTCTGTTCTAGATACCACAACTACAGTTATAGCTAAATTGCACAAAGTATAGTCAGGTTGCTTATTGCTTCCCTGCATTCTGTTTTGTTATGAAGTAATAACATTGTTATTGTGAAGAATGCAAAGCAATAAAGAGAGTGTTTGCTAAAATCAGTGGCATACACAGAAGTGGATGCAAAACTTTAAAAACTATTAGATCTAGCCTCCACAATCTATTACTTAAAGCAATTCTTGACATTGGCTTAAATGGTCACAAATCTCTTTCCATTTTCTTTCCAAAAAGGGAATATTTTTACAAACTGATCTTCTTAAAACTGCATACTGCTTATATAAATACACATAGGCAGAACCACTTTTTTAATTATTTTTTTTACATATAAAACAGTATTAAATAAAATCATAGTATTGACACAAGAAGTCATTTCCTGTTTATTTGTATTATACTCTACACGCTGTTAATATAGACACTATGGTTTTTATATACCTTGCCAAGCTCTTAGGTAAGAATGGATTTTATTATGTCAACAGGATTTACTAATGTATTAAGTAGCACTAGTGAAAGTTCTGTCTTGTTTGTTTAGGCTGAAGCTAAATGTAAGAATACATGGACCTGGTCCAACGTTCTTATTTACATGGTGGAGTTGCCAGTGCCCATTCTGTGTCCAGTTGTTCCCCTAGCTTCAGCCTCAAGAGGTGAAATTCAGTGTATTTTCATCTGCAGTGAGATAGAGCATAGAAGAAAGAAAACAGGAAAAAATAATGCACAAAAGAGGCTAAGGTCCCAAGAAATTCCATAATTGCATGCATTAGTAACATTGTGAAAAAGAAAGTGAAATTCCTGTTCACACACTGTGCAACAAATCTCAAAGAAGAAAGAGAGGGGCTGGAAAAGCTGCTGGCAGAGAAGGACCTGGGAGTAATGGTTAATATTCAGCTGAATATGAGCCAGCAGTGTGCTCAGGTTGCCAAGATGGCCAACAGCATCCTGGCTTGTATCAGAAACAGTGTGGCCAGCAGGACTAGGGAAGTGATTGTCACCCTGTACTCAGCTCTGGTGAGGCTGCACCTGAAGTACTGTGTTCAATTTTGTGCCCCTCACTACAGGAAGGACATCAAGGTGCTTGAGTGTGTCCAGGGAAGGGCAACAAAGCTGGTGAGGGGTCTGGAGAACAAGTCTTATGAGGAACAGCTGAGGAGCTGGGGTCGTTTAGCCTGGAAGAAGAGAAGGCTCAGGGGTGACCTTATCGCACTCTACAGGTACCTTAAAGGAGGCTTTAGTGAGGTGTGGATTGGTCTCTTCTCCCACATGCCCAGTGATAGCGTGAGAAACTAAGTTGTGTTTTTGCAGCCCCCCGGACTGAGAGTAATTCAGATAGAGCAGAAATATCTGCTTATCTAACTGAAATAATAACAACTCACAACAAAAAATCATATGAGAGACTTAGGGTCAGAATGAGAAAGTACTCAGGGATGAATCCTAAGGACTTGGTAGCCCAAGGGCTCTTTAAAGTTCATTTTGTGATTAAAGCCTTTCCAGATGTACAGAAAAAGCTCCAGAAGGTGGGAGGATGGAGTGAACATTATAGGTAGTATGAAGGTGTACGCCAGGAGGGGAGATGAGAAGGAAAAGCAGAAAGCAAAACAAATGGTATTCACAGCATACTGGGTAGCAAGGCAGAGGAGGAGATAGAGGGCCCAGGATGGAAAGGAGAGGAAGAGAGATGGAATGGCAGACCAGGAAACCTACCTGTGTTGCAGCCTAAATCCTAGCAGGGACAGGCTTTGAGAAGATGCTTCGCATGTGGCCAGGTCATCCACTTCAAATAGGAATTCCTAGGTGGAAGAAGGAGGAGAGATTGTTGTTATAAATTCAGAATAGGGGAGTCAGGGTTTCTCAGAAAGCTAGTTCCCTGATAAATGAAAAAGTGTACCTAACGTGTACCTCAATAGGGATTAACCAAATTTTACAATTTACAAACACTACAATTATCATTGCAGGCTGTTTTGCAGCTGTTTTCTTTTCCTTTCTTGGATGTGCTCTCACAGAGGCACAAACTGCATTGCTCATGGCTTGGCTCTGGGCAGCGGTGGGCCCCTTTGGAGCTGGATGAAACTGGCCCTCATCTAACATGGGGCAGTTGCTGGATTCTTCTCACTGGGGCTACCACTGCAGTCCACCCTGCTACCAGAACCTTGACATGTGAACCCAATACACTGAGGCAGCTAGGTCATCACTGGCCTATAAAGTATCAAGGCTTAAATTAACTAATGAAACCCTAAATGTGATGGGGGTAGAAGGGACTGGGATAACAGAGCTACTTTTGGGGGATGCCAAACTGAGACTAGGGATAGAATGATCACTGGGCATTTATTCTATGCATCCGAGGCAGGGACAAACTTGTTGGGAAAGGATTTGATAATGAAACTGGGCATTCAAATAGTAAATTGTAAGGATAGAATAATGGTGTTATTAATGGGGTGCTCTCAGATCCTGAGAGCAAAGATATATTTGTCTTTGCTTGGAAAGACCCTGGAATGGGACAGAAGCAGCAATACAGATGGACAATTTTACCTAAGGGGTTTACAGGGCCACCAATTTATTTCGGCAAGTACTAGAACAAATTCTGGAGCAATTCCAACCTCCAGAGAGGGTGTTACTGTTACAACATGTGGATGACCTTTTATTGTCAGGACAGGAGAAAACAGTTGTGAAAGAAGCCACTAACAAGCTATTACACTTTCTGGTAAAACAGGGCTTGAAAGGATTGAAAAATAAATTACAATATGTAGAAAGAGAAGACAAGTATTTAGGGCATCTAGTGTCTGAGGGAAAACAACAAATAAATCCAGAGAGGATTCAGGGAATTGCTGAGCAACCCCTCCAGGAATAAAACCAGGGATTCCATACACAAAAAGAAGTAAAAAGCTTTAAGAGAAAGAAGTTTTTAAGGAATTAGGAGTCATGAAGTCCAAAGGAGAACAGATACACCCTGATGGGAGAGAAATGCTGGATAAAGTACTAAAGAGGCAAATATTAACTGTTTTACATCAAGAGGGTCATTGGGGAATTCAAGCAATGTGTGACGCTGTGCTATGGAAATATGTATGTATAGGAATATATATACTCTGGCTGAACAAGTTCGCAGGATGTTCTAAAGCGACAGAATGAGAAGTTGATTGTGAAGAGATGCCTCTGAGAAACAGCCATGGACATGTTGAGAGTTTGTGTGTAGAAGTTAAGGACCTGACCAATAAAGAACTCCTTGTGGTCAGGGTCTACTACGGGCCACCTGATCAAGGGAAGCCAGTGGATGAGGCCTTCCTGCTTCAATTACAAGAAGAATCATGCTTGCACACTCTCATCCTGACAGGGGACTTCAACCACTTTGGATGTCTGCTCGAAAATCTCTACAGCAGGCTGTAAGCAATCCAGGAGACTTCCAGAGTGCATTGAGGATAACACCCTGGTCCAGGTATTAGACAAACCAACCAGAGGAGGAACGTTACTGGACCCAATGCTTACCATGCAGATGATCTCTTTAAAGAGGTTAAGACTGGAGGGGGTCTGCGCTGCAGTGACCGCGCCCTGGTTGGGTTTGTGATCTTGAGGAATATGGGCCTGGCAAAGAGTAAAGGGAGGACCCCAAACTTCTGAAGAGTTCTCCAGCCATTTAAAGTCCTAGTGGGCAAGATCCCCTGGAACAATGTCCTTAGGGCCAAAGGAGATGAACAGAGCTGGCAACTCTTTAAGGATGTTTTTTCTCAGAGCACAAGAACTCTCCATTTCCATGTGTAAGAAAGCAAACAGGGGGTGCAGAAACCTGAGATGGCTGTGCAAGGACTTGTTTGTTAAACTGAGGAGGAAGAAGGAAAAGCACAGGCAGTGCAAGCAGGGACATGTGGCCTGGGAGGAGTACAGGGATGCCATCTGGATATACAGGGATGGGATCAAGAAAGCCAAGGCACAGATGGAACTGAGCTTGGCAAGGGATGCAAAAAAATAACAAGAAGGGGTACTACAGGAACATTGGCTAGAAAAGAAAGGCCAAGGAGGGTGTTCCCTTTCTGATAAGCAAGAAGGGAGAACTGATAACAACAGACATGGAGGCTTTAATATGCAACAAATTCTTCGCCTCAGTCTTCACTGCCAGTCAGGCTTGCTATGTCTTTCATTCTCCAGAATCTGTTGGTGAGGGCTGGGGAAGCAAAGTCCTTTCCACTGCAAGCAGAGAGCAGGTTGGAGACCACCTGATGAAACTGAACAGATACAAGTCTACAGGACCCAATGACATGTATTGCAGGTTTCTGAGAGAACTAGCTGGGGTAGTTGCCAAGCCTCTCTCCACCATCTTTGAAAACTCCTGGCAGGCAGGTGAAGCCCCTGGCGACTGGAAAAATGGAAACATTACTCCCATTTTTAAAAGTGGTAGAGAAGAGGACATGGGGAGCTACAGCCCAGTGAACCTCACCTCTGTGCCTGGAAAGATTATGGAACAGATCCTCTTGGAAGCAATATTAAGGAACGTGCAGTACAAGGAGGTGATCTGAGAGAGACAGCATGGCTTTACTAAGGGGAAATTGTGCCTGACTGATCTGGTGGTCTTCTATGATAAAGTGACTGCATCAGATAACAAGGGAAAACCAACAGATGACATCTTTCTGGACAGTTCTAAGGCCTTTGACACAGTCCCACATGATATCCTTATCTGTAAATTGGAGAGAGATGGATGTGAAGGGTGGGCCATTCAGTGGATAAGGAACTGGCCATACCAAGCAAATTGTGGCCAATGGCTCTATGCCCAGGTAGAGGCTGGATACAAGTGCCCTTCAGGAGCCTGTCTTGGGACTGGAACTGTTTAATATCTTTATCAATGATGTAGACAATGACATCAACTGCACCCTCACCAAATTTGCAGATCCAAGCTGAGTGGTACAGTTGATATAACAAAAGGAAGGGACCAAAGGGACCTGGACAAGCTAGAAAACTGTGAACCTAATGAGAGTCAACAAGTCTAAGTGCAAACTGCTGCAGCTGGGTTGGGGCAATCCCACACAGACTGGGAGAAGAACTCATTGGGAGCAGCCTTGCAGAGATGGACCTGGGGGCTCTGGTGGATAAAAAGCTTGACATGAGCCAGGAGTGTGTGCTTGTAGCCCAGAAGGTCAACTGTATCCTGGGCTGCATCAACAGGGGAGCAGCCAGCAGGTCAAGGGCGGTGATTCTACCCTTCTCTGCAATTGTGAGGGCCCCGCCTGGAGTACTGCATCCTGATCTAAGTCTCCCAGCACAAAAAGCATGTGGATCTGTAAGAGCAAATCTGTTAGAAGGGCCATGAAAATGATCAGATGGCTGGAGCACATTTTCTATGAAGAAAGGCTGAGAGAGATGGGGATGTTCAGCCTGAAGAAGGGAAGACTCTAAGGAGACCTCACTGCAGCTTTTCAATACCTAAAGGGGGCTTATAAAAAAGATGAAGAACAACTTTTTGCTTGGTGAGATATTGATAGGACACGGGGATGGTTTTAAACTAAAAGAGGGGAGATTTAGATTAGATGTTAGGAGGTTAGATGTTCTTCACTCAGAGAATGTTGAGGCACTGGAATAAGTTGCCCAGAGAGGTTGTGGATTCCCCATCTCTAGAAGTGTTCAAGAACTGGTTGGATGAGGCCCTGAGCAACCTGGTCAAGTCGTCGGCATCCCTGCCTATGGCAGGGGGGGTGGAATTAGATGATCTTGAATGTCCCTTCTAACCCGAACCATTCTATGATTCTATGATATGATACTGCAAATCAGAGGGGTGGGGATTAGATGTCACATATTTTAGCCTTCCCCTCTATCTGCTGAGTTTCCTACTGTTCTGCTTCCTCAGGATGACATCTGTGCTTTGACCATGGCTGTTGCAAGTAGACTTGCCTCCATCTTTGCATTTTTTTGTTTTTCCTTTTGTCTCCTCTTTTTCCCTATTTCACTCCTATTGATATATGCCTTATAAGCTATCCCAATTACTTTGGAAGTGGACATCCTGAAAGTCCATCTACACTCTTGTTCTGGATATTGGCAGATGACTGATTGCCTTATTTGCCTCATCATCTGGATTCAAATCCGTCCATTTTCTAGCTGTTTCAGCAAAACCTTTCATAAAATGCTGAACAACACCAGGGCAGATGTCATAACTATCACATTACTATCTTTAATTAATAATTTGCATTCTCTCTAATCTTATGGTCATTTCATAAAGAAAAAAAAATCCACATAAGGTATTTCATCTTATTATCTGTTTCTTCAACAAAATGACTGTAAAATACTATTGTATTCCACAGTACCCAATAATAGCCAACCCAAACATGGCAAGGGGGCTGGAACAAGATGATCTTTGAGGTCCCTTCCAGCCCAAGCCATTCCATGATTCTATGACCACAAACACTCTCTCAGTCCTCTTCCTTAAAAGAAGAGAGGCAGAAGAAAGAATGATGGAAAAAAACAAAACAAAACAAAACAAAAAAAACACCAAACTCACAGGTTGAGCTAAGAATAATTTAATTAATTTAATTAAAGGGAAAAGAGGGGAAAAACAAACAAAGGCCATGTGGAAGCACAGAGAGAAGAAAAATTACTTGCCATCAACAAGCAATGTTTGGCCACATCCCAGGAAGCAGGGCCTCAATATGCGTAGCAATTGTTTGGGAGGACATCTTCCTAACGAGAGCCACCCCTCTTCCTTCTCCTTTCCCACCTTTTGTTGCTGTGTGTGACACCAAAAGGTAAGGAATATCTCTTTGGTTGGTTTAGGTCAGCTGTCCTAGTGGTGTACCCTCCCTACCTCTTGCCCATTCCCACTCTCAGCCTACTGGCTCTGAGAGAGTTTAGAGGGAGTCTTGATGCTGTGCTAGCACTTCTCAGCAATACAAAAAGCATTGGTGTGATACCAATGCTGTTCTAGCTACAGGTGCAGAGCACAGCACTTGTATAGGCTGCTGCAGGGAATGTTAACTCCATGCCAGCCAGACCCACTGATAAAAAAACTACCTGTGCTCCTGAGTCCTTTAACTGCTGCACCCAGGGACTTATCCCTCTTGACACTCGTCAGAGTGTGCTGGTGCCCATGTGAAACATGATCGGCAGATAATAGTCCTTAGGCTGTACATGACTTGGCAGTCTCCTGGTAACATCCCTGATATGAGCCCCTGATAAGCAGCAAACTTCCCTCAAGAGCAGATCAGTTTGGCATATGGGCACCTCCATAGCTCTCAAAAGAGAGTCTCCTACTACTATCAGCTGTTGACTTTTCTTAGTTGGATTAGTTGTGTGGGGAGCAGACTGGACTGTTTTACTCAGCTTCACCCTGCCTGCAGCGGATCTTTCCTTTTCAGTCTGCAAAAGGGTGAAGCATTTCTGTAGGGCCTCATACTTTGGGGGACGATTCTCTCCTGCTGGTCCTTGTTGCCATCTTCCACCCTCCAGTGTTACTGGTCCCCCTCCCTTCACTAAGTGCTGGTGAGAGAGTTTTGAGCTGCTTGGCCACAGGCTGTGGGTCCCTTGCAGACTGTTAGAATCCAGCTAACTCCTCCTCAGCCTCCCTGATGCTGCACAGCCTTCTCACTGACTCTTGCAGCTCAGCCACCATCTGCAGGAGGTCTTCCATCTGAGCACACCTTTGGCAAGCAGGTCCACTGCCTGCACCAGGCAAAAGATTTAGGCACTTCCAGCAGTCAGAAGCCTGCACTACACCTTCACCCCTCAGTAGCTCCGTCTGGGTGGAAGCATCAGCAACCACCGGGATAGACTGCGCAGCCAAAGCCACAACCTTTTTTTCCCTGAGACAAGTGCCCACCATTCTGCCTTAAGAATCAGGAAAGGTGCGCTCCAATGGCTTGTGGAGATCCGTGTTTAAGGTGAACTTGGTGTACTTACTGCCTCCGGCTTGGCCCGCGGACCGTCCCTCCCTACCGTGGGGGCCCCCTCCCTGCGCCCTCCGAGGCGCAGTGCCGCACCGGCCCCTGCTTGCTGCCCCATACACTGGTGGCTCTCGCTGCCTTGGAGCTGCCTATGGAAGAGTGGGGGGTGGCCGCTGCTCCTGCTCGCCCCGCCCACGCCGCGGCAGCTGCTCGCAATCGGGGTGGCGGCCTCCGGGTGCTCTCGGCGATCCCTTGAGGCTTCCCAGGCTGCGGAAAACCCCTTGTGCGGCTCTGCTACGGAACGCGCCCGACCGGGGCACATCGCCTGGGCTAGTGTGATGGTTTTACCCGGGTGGGCAGCTGAACTTCACCAAAACCGTTCTCTCATTACACCTCCTCAAAGGAAAAGGGGGAGAAAATACAAAAGAAAGGGCTCAGGTGTTTGAGGTAAGGACAGAGAGATCACACACCAATTATTGTCATGGGCCAAAAAGGCTCAGCGTAGGGAAATCAATATAATTTATTGCCTATCAGTAGCAGACTACAATAGTGAGAACCTAAAAGCAAACTCAAAAACACCTTCCCCACCATCTGCCCTGTTCTACCTCCTCTGTGTGTGCATTCAGAGCAGCAGAGAATGGGGACTACAGTCAGTCCCTAACGCATTGTCTCCATCATGGTCACTCTCTGCCCCTGCTGCATGTGGAGTCCATCCCACTGGATGCTGTCCTTCCCAAACTGATCCTGTGTGGACTTCAGAGCCAGCACCTATTCAAGAACTGCTTCAACATGGCTACGTACCATGGAGTCTGTCTGTCAGGAGCAAACTGTCTCAGCACAGGTCCCCCACAATCCACGGATCCCCCTCTGTGTCCAGCAGCTCCCCCCAGATTCCCTGCTCCTGCATGGGCTCCTCTCCATGGGCTGCAGCTCTGGCCCGGGGCCTGCTCCTGCAGGTGCTCGCCACGGGCTTCAGCCTCCTGCAGGCCACATCTACCTGCTCCACCGGGGGCTTCTCCACAGGCTGCAGTGTGGAGATATGCTCCATGTGGGACCCACGGGCTGCAGGGGGACAGCCTTCTCCACCCTCAGCCACAAGGCTCCTGGCAGAGTTTCACAGGCACTGCAACCACTCCAGTCCCACATAGAATCATAGAATCATAGAATATCCCAAGTTGGAAGGGATCCATAAGGATCATCAAGTCCAACTCCTGGCACCACACGGATCTCCCCAAAAGTTTAGACCATGTGACTAAGTGCACAGTCCAATCGCTTTTTAAATTCAGACAGGCTTGGTGCAGTGACTACTTCCCTGGGGAGCCTGTTCCAGTGCTGCAACCACTCTCTCTGTGAAGAACCCCCTCCTGATGTCAAGCCTAAACTTCCCCTACCTCAGCTTAACCCCGTTCCCGCGGGTCCTGTCGCTGGTGTTAATGGAGAAAAGGTCTCCTGCCTCTCGACACCCCCTTACGAGGAAGTTGTAGACTGCGATGAGGTCTCCCCTCAGCCTCCTCTTCTCCAGGCTGAACAGGCCCAGTGCCCTCAGTCGTTCCTCGTACGTCTTCCCCTCCAGGCCTTTCACCATCTTCGTAGCCCTCCTCTGGACACTCTCCAACAGTTTCATGTCCTTTTTGTACTGTGGTGCCCAGAACTGCACACAATACTTGAGGTGAGGCCACACCAGGGCAGAGTACAGCGGGACAATGACCTCCCTCAACCGACTAGTAATGCCGTGCTGGATGCACCCCAGGATACGGTTGGCCCTCCTGGCTGCCAGGGCACACTGCTGGCTCATATTCAGCTTGCTGTCAACCACAACCACCAGATCCCTCTCTGCAGGGCTACTCTCCAGTGTCTTGTTGCCCAGTCTGTATGTAAAGCCAGGGTTGCCCCGTCCCAGGTGCAGCACCTGGCATTTGCTTTTGTTAAACTTCATGTGGTTGGTGATCGCCCAGCTCTCCAGTCTGTCCAGGTCTTTCTGCAAGGCCTTTCCACCCTCTTCTGAGTCCACAAGTAGCTTCACAGAGATCCTGTCTGAAGAAAATTATTTGAGATTTTTTCTCACAGGCCACAGCACAAGGAACTGCTGCAGTGTCCTTGGTACTCGTGTCCCAGTGAGGATGGGGATGAACAGTGGCCCCATGGAACATGCTAGGGGTAACACTGGTTGCTGGAGCTCCCTCCTGATGACGTAAGGCCAGAGCTACACACAACCCCAGCCAGGTGTCACCCAGAGCTGACACAACCCCGTTGCCCCATGGGAACACCCTGGCCCCCAGGCTTGGCACTGCCCAGGCAAAGAAGAACACAGGGGGCCATGCTCAGTATGCCTTGTATCACCCATACTACCGAACTGGCTGCACAGCACCCTCCTAGCACCCTGTGCCCCTACACAGGGACTCTCCTTGTCCCTCATGAGTGTACAAAACATACAATAAATGCTCCCCTTTTTCTAAACAGGATGCAGTGGGTTGACCCTGGCTAGCAACTAAGAACAAGGTTGCTCCCTTGTATCCCAGTGGGTACAATGGCAGATGTTCACCACCCCCTACAAGGAGACTGATCTCCAGCCAGTCTCTGTGCCATGGCTGCTTTGGAAAGATCAAAGCCCATGCTACATGGTATGAGATAGACCTCTAGTTCATTTGAGTCAGCTGTCACAACTGTGTCCCCTCCAAAACCCTGGCCCAGTCTCAACCTATTTGCTCAGCAGGGAAGACTGAGAAACAGAAACCCTTGACACAAGCAGTGCTCAGTGGTACTCTACACCAATGGAGGCTCATCAACATGGTCTAATCACAAGTACAAAGCATAGCACCATCCAGAAAGGCTGCTACTGAGGCAGTCAACCTATTTGCAGCCAGGCCCAGGCCTGGGACACAGGGCTCTACGGAGGTGAGGAAGAATCAGCATGGCTGGAAAAAATGCTGCGCCACATAGAGACACCAAGCTGCCTTTGTCACCATGTGCTTTGCCCATGGACATGACGAGCAGCGCTTGGCACAAGGACACACTGGTTAAGGATAAGAAAAAATGTTTTTATAAATATATTAACAGATGTTTTTATAAGTGCATTAATGGCAAGAGGAGGACCAAGGATATTCTCCATCCTTTACTGGGTGCAGTGGGGAACATGACTGCTGGGGATAAAGAAAAGGCTACGTTTCTTAATGCCTTCTTTTCATCTGTCTTTACTAAGTACCCCACTTATCCTTGAGGTACTCAGACTTCTGACCTGGAAGTCTGGGATGGAGAGCAGAAGAAACCCCCCACAATTCAGGTGGAAACAGTTAAGAGACCTGCTGCTCCACCTGGACTGTTACCAGTCCATGGGGCCAGATGGGATATACCCGAGGGTGCTGAGGGAGCTGGCAGACATGAATGTTGAGCTGCTTTCCATCATCTATCAGTGGTCATGGTCAACCAGAGATGTCCCAGCTGAATGGAGACTTGCTAATGTGATGCCCATCTATGAGAAGGACCATAAGGAGGATCTGGGAAACTACAGGCCTGTCAGCTTGACCTCAGTGCCAGGGAAGGTGATGGACCAGGTCATCCTGAATGTAATCATGCAGTACATGTGGGACAACTGGGGGATCAGGCCCAGTCAGCAAGGGTTCATGAAAGGCAAGTCCTGCCTGACCAACCTCATCTCCTTCTATGACCAGGTGACCAACCTGCTGGATAAAGGAAAGGCTGTTGATGTAATCTGCCTAGACTTTAGCAAGGCCTCTGACACAGTCTCCAATTGTATTCTCCTGGAGAAGCTGGCAGCCCATGGCTTGGACCTGTACACTCTTTCCTGAGTTTAAAACTGCCTGGAAGGCCAGGCCCAGGGAGTAGGGGTGAGCAGAGTGAAATCCAGCTGGCGACCAGGCACCAGTGGTGCTCCTCAGGGGTCAGTGTTGGGGAAATGTCCTTATTGATTATTTGGATTAAGGAACTGAGTGCACCCTCAGTAAGTTTGCAGATGACACCAAGCTGGGGGGAAGTGTTGATCTGCTGGAGAGTAGGAAGGCCCTGCAGAGGGACCCAGACAGGTTGGGTCGATGGGTAGAGGCCAATGGGATGAGGTTCAACATGGCTGAGTGCCAGGTCCTGCTCTTTGGCCACAACAACCCCATGCAGTGCTTCAGGCTTGGGGCAGAGTAGCTCGAAATCTGTGCAGAGGAAAGGGATCTGGGAGTGCTGATTGATGCTTGCCTGAACATGAGCCAGCAGTGTGCCCAGCTGGCCAAGAAGGCCAACGGTATCCTGGCTTGTATCAGAAATAGTGCAGCCAGCAGGACCAGGGAGGTAGGTGATCAACCCCTTGCACTCAGCTCTGGTGAGGCCACACCTTGGGTACTGTGTTCAGTTTTGGGCCCCTCAGTACAAGAAGGACATCAAGGCCCCAGAATGTGTCCAGAGAAGGGCTATGAAGCTGGTGAAGGACCTGGAACACAAGTCCTGTGAAGAGTGGCTGAGGAAACTGGGGTTGTTTAATCTGGAGGAGGCTCGGGGGAGACCTTATTGCTCTCTACAGCTACCTGAAAGGAAGTGGGGAACTGGAGATCAGCCTCTTTTCAGAGATAACTAGTGATGGGATTAGAGGGAATGTCCTAAAGTTGCACCAGGGGAGGATGAGGTTGGAAATTAGGATAAATTTCTTCTCAGAAAGAGTAGTCAGGCATTGGAACAGGTTGCTCGGGGAAGTGATGGAGACACCATCTCGTAGGGATGTTTAAGGAAAAGTTGTATGTCGTGCTTAGGGACATGGTTTAGTGGGTGACATTGGTAGTAGGGTAATGGTTGGACCAGATGATCTTGGAGGTCTTTTCCAACCTTATTGGTTCTATGATTCTATTACCCAGATATGCTGGCACACATATGAGGTTCAACAAATCCAAGTGCAAGGTGCTGCACCAGGGTTGGGGCAATCACAGATAAGAGTACGGACTGGGAGAAGAACTCACTGAAAGCACCCCTGCAGAGAAGGACTTGGGGGTTCTGGTGGAAGAAAAGCTCAACATGAGCCGACAGTGCACACTTGCAGCCCAGAAAGCCAACTCTGCATACTGGGCTGCAGCAACAGAGGAGTGGCCAGGAGGTCAAGGGAGGTGATTTTCCCCCTATACTCTGCCCCTTGTGAGGCCTCACTTGGATTACTGCATCCAAGTCTGTGGCCCCCAGCACAAAAAGTATGTTGATCTGTTAGAACAGGTCCAGGGGAAGACTGCAAAGCTGAGAATATGTCTGGAGCACCTCTCCTATGAAGAA